CCTTAACTCTCTTATTAGAAGCTGCCCCTTCAACATGAGCAGGGAGAGCTGAGCCAGAGAATAAACTCGTTCATAGAAAAAAAAAAACTGCAAATCTAGTCATATCTGATTGGGATCCTGACCATAAATTTTGACCCGCTGTTATTCCTTCTGGTTTTGATTTATTGTTACTACTTTGTGTTTTCTGTTATAACTTACCAGTGTGGTTATCTCTTAGCCTCTCTGCTTCAGTATTGATTCTGATGCCTGGGTTTGTCTTTATGATTCTTTACCCCCTGTTTCCTAGCTCTCTGCGCATCTGTGTCCCTAAATCTAATGACAAATATGCATTTACAGGGACTTCGGGAACTTAATAAATACTTGATAAATGAATAAATCCCTCTATGAGTTATTTCCATGTTCTTAGCCTATAAGGCACCTGCCTTTATCATCATGCTGCCAGACTAACTTCTTTGGAGGTGCTGATTAACATCAATACTTTCTCACTCAAGATAATCTATCGCCAAATTAAGGACCTTTCAGGTTAATAAGGCCTTCTAGTCCATTGAAGATGCCTTTATAGGGATGCATAGTTCTATATTAAAGTTCCCTTCCATCATTTTATGCTTTGCATACCTTCCCTGGTTTACTAGAGCCCAGTTGAATTAATTTTCTCAAGATCAGAAACTGCTCTCAAGAAATTATTAGGTAATTTCCTAGTAGATAATTTATGTATCTTGATGTGTTATGCATTTCCAAAGGGCAAAGTATATTTGCTTTGTGTTAGTACAATAGAATAATGATTATTTTCCAACTTTTATTCTGATAGGTATTATACTACATTTAATTTTCACACTACCTTTTCATAAAATGAGCATTGTCCTAATTCCTACTTTATAGATTAAGCTAGATCTTATAGATGTTAATTTCTTAGAGTATTGAGTAAAGGACCCAGACTTTGAACAATCCACTCTTTCCAAGTCCAATGTCTTATACTCTAACAAGGATAATCATATAACAGATTGGCTAGCGTTAACCAAAATAAAATCATAAGTTATGTTTTTATGAGATGTTAGCACAATATCCAGCTCTGAAAGTATACCTCCCAGCCGGCTGACTGCCCTGCTATGCATGAAGCCAAGGATGCTACTTTGCTTGGCCATGTCCCAATCCAAATAAGGACAAACATTTTCTTTTGCTTTTGAGGCCATATGTTTCTGGATTACAACTGTGCAACTTTGAAAAATAATAGCCTCTAGGGTCACATCTGAAAGCAAGACTCTTAAAATATTGGCATTTGCCTATAAAAAATTTCTTTTTAAAAAACAAATGGTCACATTCACTAGGGAATTTCATTATAGTCCCCAAAAAGGTCAGAATTTAGTTTCAATCAGAAATTTTGTTTTTATTTTTCTCACCAAAATGATCTTTAAAGAGAGATTTAAAAAAAAAAATTTTTTTTTTTTTTTTTTTGGAGACAGGGTCTCACTATGTAGTTGAGACTAACCTGGAACTCACTATGTAGCCCAGGCTGGTCTCAAACACACAGTGATCCTCCTGCCTCAGCCTCCTGAGTACTGGGATTACAGGCATGCGCCACCACGCCCACCTGAAAAATTTTTAGTCAAAAGCCTAAAGTCATTACTGCTTAGTAACAAGAGGTATGTGTGTGTGTATACACAAGTATTTTCAACTAATTAGCAATTCCTCATTTATCCTATGTTCCTATATATTGACCATTTTCTTCAATACAATCAACTTTCCAACATCTCCAATTGTTTTCTAGATATATATTTATACCTATATAGGAAATCAAACCAATTAAGTATTACTGTTCTAGAATTTTTTAAGATGAATGATAATTTGATTGTAACAACATAGCTCTTAGAGAATTCATAAGAGGTAGCATTGGGTCTAACCAGAGGCATGATGGTAAGTGATTAACAACAGCTCTGTAGGAAAAACCAAATCCTGATCTATAGCATTTGACATTTCCCATAGTGTAAATAGCCCACTGTGGTTAGTTTCCAGCTACCAATGTATCATTGCTGAAGGCAGAATGAGGAAGGGATGAACCACAGCTGGACTTCCACCTACCCAAGTTAAGGACACTGACTGCACATGGACAGCCATCAAAACTCCCAGTAAGTCTCTGAAGTCACTTGGATTAAATGTTACAGAAAGGTTGAAGGTGAGCTTTGTAGCCTAAACTGGAATTAAATTGCCAGAACTCTGATTCCACTATTTAATTTACTCTAGGGTAATTTACATAACTTTTTGTGATTTAGCTTCTTCATATACAAACTGGTAAAAATAGATTTTTCTATCTCTTGGGTTGCTTTGATATTTAAATAAATTTTAGTTCTCTTAATAGTAAAATGCAGACAGTGACATTTACTCTGACAGCTGCATAGGACTGTGGTGACACTAATGCAAGATGATAAAACTAAAAGCTTTTTGAAGATGATATAACTGTGGGATATTATTCTTAATCCAATTTTAAAATGCTAATGTCATAGAGGTTTTAAAATGCAAGAGTGAACCATTTTGTGTCATTTGAGTAAAACCTGGGCATGAGCTATTGTTGGGAACTGGGATGTTTTGTTGTAAGGAGTAGAAAACAAAATGCAGCAAAACAATAAAAGAAGTGCCCTAAATTTAAATTTCTATGACAAAATAGTTAAATATCATGCATAACCATTTCCTTACAAAAGAGCAATTTTCAAATGACCAAGAACTATGCTTTAGATGTAACATATTTGTTTAAACGAGTTAGGGATTATTGGGAACTAAGTTAACAAAGCATTTAAGGAACCATGCTTTTCAGGGAAAGACTACATAAAACTGAGTGAATATAACATTATCTATCAAATGAAAGATGCGACACATAGGAAAACCAGGTAATAGTTAGCATTATGCTATTATAAGATGAAAGATGCATATCCAAATATGTTCTGCTTAAAGGTAAAAGTTCATAAGTTTCATTAATCTAGGATGTCTGCCAAGTACAAACTGAAGAAATCTTAAACTTGTTTAACTCAGTCAATTTGTAAAGGAACAAAAATTATAAACACAACATTAAGGTTTTTTTAATTCATATTTGACTTCTGTTCATCTCCAATGATCATTCCCATTTATGTATATTTAGTAAAAATCATGAAAACAATTCTGGAAAAAAATTGTAATCTAAAAATATGCCTATGACTCCTCCCTAGATTTATAACTCTAAACCCAGCAGAGGGATTCTGTTCTGTAAACCAAGAAAGAACCAGCAGGACAGTGCAACCCTCACTGTAGACTTTTCTGCTGATTAGTAGTGAAAATCATCATTGCTGGATATTAAAAGGTTCAAAACATGACACAAAAGGGCTTCCGAGTTCCCTCATTTAGTGAAAGAAGTAAAATGAATGACCATGTATGTTTTTGTGCCACCTTCCAAGGAAGGAGGAGGAAAATATACAAAAATAAGAATTTGTAATAGCTCCCTGGGAAAATACAGAAAAGATTTCTTGAGTGAGTGGAGTAGACTGAAGCTGAGATAAAGGTATGACTTTTGTGAGGCACTGTTTTCATTGTTTTAATTTTTTTTTTTTTTTTTTTTTTTTTTTTTTTGTGGCTCTTTTTTTTTTTTTTTTTTTTTTTTTTTTTTTTTTTTTTTTTTTTTTTTTGGTGCCGGGGATCAAACTCGGGTCCTTGCACTTGCAATGCAGGCCACCGAACTGCAGAGCTAAATCCCCGGCCCTCATTGTTTTAATTTTTAAATGTGAATTTATTGCAAACATTGTTATCAAACATTATTTGTGTTTAATGCACAATTCACACAACAACGAATCAAAACTTCAATTTCATATCTAGTTCAACATTTTTCATCCCTCCCAAGCCCAGGACTGACTCGGGCACAGACACCTTCAGAGGGCTCAGAAGGGTTCACATTCTATGTCCTGTGCTTACTCTGCAGCTTCTGGCTGTTCAGCATCATGGTGGGACAGGCCAGCGGGTCTAACCAACCTGCTGGCTATGGTGCTCTGTGACAAAGGCCCTCTCATTCTTACCTGATGGGGGACATTCCTTGATCACAAATGACCTCTTATATTTTGGCTTAAATTTTACAATCCCTACACTGGTTCTTATACCAATAATCACCCTAGTATCCATCTTTCTTTTCACTATCTGATGTCAGTACCCTTTGGTCCTTTGAGACGCTTCTATTTCAGCTTCTTTATAGCTCCGGGAAAATCCCAGGCCTGTTCTGAAGCAAACTTCAGAAGTACACATCCTTTCTTCTATAGGTTCCCTCCGGGCTCTGAATTCACAGGTAGCCCTCATTACCTTGTCAGCTTTGTCTTTTCTGAGTTGAAAATCAAAATCCATTCTCAGTACTCTCTGAATAACAAGAGAAAGTTGGTCAGAGCTGTTGGGTTTTGCAACTATCCCCTGAAATGCAAGTTGACTTGCTGAAAGTCCTAGCAATTGGCTAGCAACCTTCTCCAAATCTTGCTTTCCTAATGGAAAGCTCTATGATGGTAGCAAGGAGGCTAAACTTTGGTGATGGCACTCTTGGAACTACCCGCTAACTGAGTGAGGCCTCCTCAGAGGCTGTGACAGATACATCTCATGAGAATGGGTGAGCAGGTAACACCCTCCTTCTCCATAGCAACTCTGAACTTTCAGAGAATAGGGAAAGTCCTCTCATTAGTGAAAACCAATACAAGCCTACACATGTCTCTGGCTTTTAAATCTGGGTGTAAAGACAGTGAAGGTGCTGGAAGAGGAGCCTTTAATTACTTTTCATTTTATCACTTTTACTGTTTGGCTATTTTATTATATTCAAGAATTTGGATTTAAAATGTATATTTTTTAAAAAAATGAAAAGGAACCTTTCAAATTTTAATGAGATTTTGATTGTGATATCATACTGAGATAGGCTAAATTTCTGTTTGAGGTAAAAGAAGGTGAAAAAAGAGGAACAAATGAGGGGAGAAAAGCAAGGAAGATAAAAGGCAGAGGAGGTGAAGACTTACCTTGTTTCGTCGATATAAACCGCTTCCAACACTGATGCTGCATATTCAATATTCTTCTTTAAGTCTACGACATTGACATCACCTTTTTCAAGCTGCTTCACTAAGCATCTTAGTCTATTTCAAAAAAGTAGCCAGAAAGAGAGACATAGATTTATTATAAGTATATGGAAGAGAGAACAATATTAAACTCACAAATCAAGTGAGACTTTTGATATCACTACTTCTAAGTCATCAAATAGAAATTTTTTAGAGCCTTTTTGTATAATTCAGACCAACCTTTATCACTTAAGCAATTATTTTTTTTCTTTTTATTGAGTTTATTGGTACATTCTAGGTACACAGTGCAGTTATATTCATTACTGGGACCTTGTACCTTTACGTGACAGGTCTTGGTTCTCACTTTTTCCCCTTGTCCATGAGACTCACTTCTTCTAATATCAGGGCTGTTGGTAGGTAGTATGAATACCATATCTCAATCATGGTATCCCTGATAATTCTCAATAATATATTCAAGACACTTTCATTAATTACATTCCTAACTCTAGAATTTAGTCTACAGTTCTGCTTCTTCTGTGCTGACCCTATGAGCGTTCTTCTGACTGCTGCAGCAGCTCTTGTTCACTCTATAGTATAATAAAAATAAAAATGAAAAGCAAAAGTTCAAAATAATTTAACTAGGAAAATATTTCATGAATGTTTAGTGGTTTCACTACAGTGATTTTCACCTAGAAAATCTCAAAAATATTACCTCTTGTTTTGGCATAGAATGAAGTGCCCCAATTTTCAGAGAAATTTAAAAGCATAGAACTCAGCTGAGTCCCACCTAGAATCCTGACTTCCAGAGACTGTGGGATAATTGAGGTTATTGTTTTAAGCCACTGATTTTGAGATACTTGTTTTGAAGCAATTAATATCATAGTGAGGTAGTACAACTTATCTAAATAAGTTTGTAACACTTTTCCAAACTTACGTGCATTAACTTGTAAGTCAAATATTTCTAAAGATACCATCTTATACTAAGCACAAAGGGAATTTATTGTTTATATATTTCTCACTATATATTACTGTATGTATAAGCAATGTGAAGGCAATTTATCTATTTTCTTAAATAAACAGTGAATTCCATTCCTATTCTAAAGTAAAATGTCTGTTTTTATGTCTACTTTTAGGCACTAATAGGCAAAGTAGCAGAGGTGGTGATTCACTTTGGATAATTTCCAATGACAAAGCTTAGAGTATAAGAACAAGTTAAGAGTTTCAGCAAGATATTTGACATTCCTTCACGCATTAAAAAATCTTACTTCTCTATGAAAAAAGAATGCACACCTAGATTAAAATTCCTTAGGAAGTTGTAAATAAGTATTTGTACCATTTACTCTCATATAAAAAATAGCAGACAATATATATATATGTTAATGTACATATATATATTTGGATGTATATGAATACATTATAAGAACATATAAGAATACATAGTCAAATATGAATGAGGGTATTTGAATACATATATAAGGATACACATACATTAAAACATATATTTTCAAGCTGACTTCTCTTCTTAAGTCCTTTGATCTCATATCCCTGCTGGCTTTTACTGTTTAAGTTACTTACTAGGTACACATGGAAATCTACCTACCGCATAAGTCCTTTGAAGAAATCCTAAGTCCTTTCCTTTGTGATCTCTCCTTACTTAGAAACTAAACCACACTTCCTTTGTTCCTTGCTAACAACACTGGAATTACTCAGACTTTTATGATAGCTTCATTTTTTGTATGTAACCTTTTACCTTCAGTTGTTTTCTCATTGACTAAAAAAAAAGTTATCAGGTATGCAAAGAAGCAAGAAAATTGATCCATCATGAGGATTTTTAAAATACTGAAATTGATCCACATATGGCCAATGTGATAGAATTGGCAAACAAAGATGTTAAGATGGTTTTTATTAAAATAGAAAAGCAACATTATACTGATGCATTTAACAACTCAGATAAAATGAACAAGGTCCCTAAAAAATACAAATGACCAAATCTCAAAAGTAGATAAACTGGAGGTGTAGATAAAAAGCTTCACTGAGAAGGGAAGGAGATTATGCTGGAAGGGTACCTGGAGATGTTAACATTAGTATGAAAATGTGAGCACAAGGCAGCGAGGCACACAATACCACCTGTTAGCACAAGAAGCTGCTGCACTATTTCCAGTAAGTCCTGCTGGCCTCAGCCTAAAACAATACCAAATGATAATGAGAATCTGTAAAGTAATGAAGTTCTCTGTTCTGAGGGTCAAGACTCAAGAAATTGAAACCTAAGTTTGGTGTAAGAAACAGGGCTTATAGATTTAGAGCCTTTTCAGATACATTTCTCTCATATTGACAAATATAATTGTAAAAATGCCATTATATCTCTATTTTATGGGATATACAATTCCCAAGCCAATTTATATCATTGAAGAAAATGAAAAAAAAAAGTACAGTGTGAAAACCACAGTTAATAATACTGTATGGTATACTGGGAATTTGCTAAGGAAATAAAGTTGAAGTATTTTCACCACAAAAACAAATGTAATTTTGAAGATAATGGATATATTCATTTGCTTGACTGAAGTTATCGCTATATCAAAATATACTATATAATATATATATAAAATATAGTATGACAAATATTATTAGCCTTTAAAATACACTTACATGTTTATAGTCTACATTTAAAGGAACAAAGTAATTCTGTTGAGACAGAGAATACAGTTCCTCAGTGTTGGTCCCTCAGTATCTGGTGCCAGGAACTCTGTGGATATCCAAATCCAAAGATTCTTAAGTCCCTCACATAACATGATGTATTATCTGCTCATAATCTATGTACTGCTGTACACTTTCCATCTCCTGTAACTTATCTATGATACCTAACTTACTGTAATGCCATGTAAATAGATGTTACACTGTATTGGGGAGGGACTAATGACAAGGAAAAAAGTCATGTTCAACACAGATGTGATTTTTTTTTCCCTGAATGTTGTGAATCCAGTTGGTTGAATCCACAGATATGAAACCCAGAGATACAGAGGACTGACTATATGTGATGAAAATGGTTTTTTTTTTACACTTGATCTTAGCCAAAAGGCCAAGAAGTGATAAAAAAAAGGTTGTTTTTTTTTTAAGTAAAAAGAATGCTTATTTCCCCGTCTCCAAAATTCACAATTTAGTAAACTAGCTATCACTTTACTTCAAGAGGTATTAACTTTAAAGAAACAGAAATGGACATTATGTAATTCTAAGCATGTTGGAGAATCCCTTTTTTTAAATTAATTTTATTGATACATTTAATGCATACAGTATAATGGCATTCGTTGTTGGAAATTTGTACCTTTATATAATCAATCTTGGTTCTTATTTTTTCCTCTTTCCCCTACCCTCCCTTCCATCCCTCCACTCCTCCTTCTTTTTCATTTTCTCATATTAATTCCATTCCCTTCTTCCTTTCCCCTACCCATTCCCCTCCCCCTTTGTCCCTTTTCTTCCTATTACACATTTTCTTTATCCAGTCTCGCATTGGTAGCAATTGGGCTCCTTCCAAGTTTTAGCTATTACAAACTGTTCTGCTATGAACACGGTGCACACATGGCACTGTGGTGTGATTCTTTAAATTCTTTAGGGAAGATACCCAGCAGGGGAATAGCCAGGTCAGATGGGATTTATAATCTTACTTCCTTGAGGTACCTCCATACTGATTTCCACAGTGGTTGCCACAGTCTACACTCCCACCAGCAGGGGAGCAATGTTCCTCTTTTGCCACAGCCCCACCAGCATTTGTCATTGGTTGATTTCATGATAGCAGCCATTCATTCTGTGATGAGGTGGAATCTCAGTGTTGTTCTCATTTGCATCTCTTGAATGACTAGTCATGCTGAACATTTTTCATATGTTTATTTACTGTTTCTATTTCTTTGTCTGAGAAATGTCTGTTCATTTCAGATGCCCATTTTTGGATTGGGTCTTTAAATTTGGAAGGTCTGATTTTTTTAAAGTTCTTTATATATTCTAAATAGTTGACCTTTGTCTGAGGAACAGCTGGTGAAATATTTTCCCACATTGTGGGTTGCCTCTTCACATTGTTGGTTGTTTCTCTTGCTGTGTAGAAGCTTTTTAATAAAAAGAGATCTCACTTGTTGATTGTGCTAGTTAATGGGCAACTGAGATATTGATGATCCTCTGAATTTCTGCTGGGTCCATTGCAATTTTACCCTTTTCATTCCTATTTTCATGGATTTGGGCCTTTTCTTTTCTTTTTTTTGATAAGGTTGGCTAAGGGTTTGTCAATTTTGTTTATTCTTTTGAAGAGCCAACCCTTGGCTTCATTGATTTTTTTTTTTGTATGTTTTCTTAATCTCCATTGATTGATTTCTGCCCTGGCCTTTATAATTTCCTCCCTTGTATGAGCTTTGGGTTTGTCCTGCTCTTCCTTTTCTAGAAGTCTTGAGGTTCAGCATCAGGTTGTTTAATTGTGTTTGCTTTGTTTTCCTAATATACATATTCAGTGCTATGAATTTCCCTTATAACACTGCTTTCAATGTGTCCCATAAATTCTCATATGTTGTATTGTCATTGTCATTTAATTGTATGAACTATCTGATTGCTTCTTTAATTTCCTCTGTGACCTATTGGTTATTCAGAAGTATGTTGCTCAATTTCCATGTGTTTGGGAAATTCTTGTGGTTTCTTTTGCCACTGATATCTAATTTCATCATACTATGGACTGATAATATACAGGGCACCATTTCAATTCCTTTACACTTTCTTAGACATGTTCTATGAGCAAGAATATATAGTCTATTTTGGAGAACAATCCATGTCCAGCTGGAAAGAATGTGTATTCTGGTTTTGTGGGGTGGAACACTCTGTAAGCATCTGTTAAGTTCATTTGTTCAAGAATTTGAGTTCTAGTATTTCATTGTTTATTTTCCATCTAGTTGATCTATCTATTTGTGACTGGGGTATTGAGGTTCCCCATTACTATTGTGTTAGTGCTTATTTGATTTTTTATGTCTGCTTAGTATTTGTTTTATAAATTTGGGTGCACTAAATTTTTTGGACCATATATGTTTATGATTATCATCCCTTCCTCT